AATTTCATTAATTCAAATTCGTTATTTCAGATCAGTTAGCCTAAAGTTGGCAACGCTTTTCATCTTTTAACAGCTATAACAAGATATCAAAGAGAAAATAATGACAAGGGGGGTTAAAATATGTAAAGAAATGGCATTTTTCCAAAATAGTTTACAAAGTATATTATCATATAATAATCGGTATGCCAACAAATCGAAGCTATCCATTCATTAAAGCAGAGAGCAGTTGGTGACGCTAATATGGTTTCTATACAATACTATGCCTTTTAAAGCATCAAATACTCACAAAACATTCTAAATTCTAACAATTAATAGCCAGAAACTTTGCCTAGTAACTCTGAATTACTAGAATTTTGCTATACAGAAAAGACTTCTTCTCTATGCCTTTAACGGAGAGTCAAATGCTACTAGTTACGGACGGGATACAACAGAAGCAATCTCAAGCTGTTGGCAAAATTTTCAATAATGGCGGCAGAGGGGGAAGATGAGAAATATTATTTAGACCTTGCTATTTGCCAGATGCTGTCCTCATTTAACCCTTCACAATAGCCCTTGGAGTAAGTAATAGTTTCACAGTTTTACAGATGGGGTGCAGGAGGCCCAGAACATGCTAATTACCTCGCCCAAAGTAGAAAAGCTCAGATTCTAACTAATGTTAAACTCTTTCCATCACATCACAGAGGCTTGACAAAACGATGAAATCAAAGTCCTTAATGTGTTTCTTTTCTCCGTGGGATATTCAGTTTGGATTCACAATGGAATAAAGCCACCAGGAAAGCTACTACTAGCAAAGTTCAAGCTAAACTCTCGTCCAAAATTCAAAAATACTCTTTTTTTTTTTTTTTAAGAAAGAGAAAAGGCATACAATATTTATTAATGTGTATACAGGAGCCTCTAGAATGAAGACCCAAAGACACAGGGGAGATTGTCCATTTTTATGCTTAGGTTCAACAAAGCATAGACAGCTGTGTAGAAATATGATTGGACAAAAAGGGTATGATCTAATGATAATAGACTGAATGGTGAAACCCAACAAGGCCTATCTGTCCAGATTCCTCTTGGCTTCTCTGAGCTGTATTCTTCCCTTCTGGGTGTGGGGCAGGGCCCTCTCCGGAATGGGGGTCTCATGACCTATAGTCCAATAAGGTAGGTCGGATGCAAAATTCAGAAATACTTCTATTAAAAATATTTCTTGTAAAATATTCATTTCAAAACACGTTGTTGAAGAAGATAGTTTAACTAAATCCAGAAAAGAATGAGAAATTTGGATGTTGGAATTAACTGAACTCCTGAACTATTCCAACGCAGCGTGCCAAGTAGCCTATTTAGGGAAGCAAGCTTACACCTCATTGCTTGTTCTGCAGAACTGAGTGCCTTGTTTTCTTTTTTTTTTTTTTTTAATGACTAAGCATAATTGAATCAAAAAATAATCTTTCCTAGCTCCTAATTCCTCTACTTTAAAGCATGTACCAGGAATTACATGAAAGGGTAGGCATGGTTCTTTTTGGGAAGATTCTTTGTGGAAAAATTATTTTGGTTCATGATAATACATGATTCTTGCAGGTAATCTTACTGATTCGACGTCAAAAGATCAATAGATATCGACTGAAGTTGTTTATAATCTGACACTTTAAATTCACCAGAAATGAATTAGTTCTCTAATTAATGAAGGAAAAATATTCAAAACTTTCCATGTGTAACAAAATGGAATGAGAACAGAAGGTATCATTTGAAAACAAAGTTCACCCTTTCCTACAGTAGAATGCGTGCTGATGAGATCTCGTAGCCAACCAAAATAACTACGTTATCCCCAAGTCTCAGTCTAGTACCACGTGGCTGGTGTCGAATAAAACTGAATTAAGTCTCCACAGATGTGGAAATCCACGTGACGATCTTTTGACATATGGACTTCATTGGAACAATGTAATCCTCACCTTCCTCAGAGTAGGAGAAGCATGATCAAAACCTCACCATCAACACCACCGCTAATAATCACAGGCGTGTATTGATTCCTTCCTATATATAACCCAGACACTTCAATTCATCTCATTTAATCCTCACAGCAGCCCACTGAGACGGTACTAGCATTCGCTCCGTTTTCCAAACTACCTCAATCCTCCACACTCATTTTAGTCTTTTATATCACTGGCATGAGCTTAGTATCACTCTCCCAGTTTTTTACTGTATTCATATATTTCTCCTGCTTAACTAGAATGGGATTCGCTATATGCTAAAACAAAGTATTCCTTTGTGAATATATACATTTGCAAATATATGTGTATATATACATATACGTTTTTTCCGGAAAATTTTTTCAGAAGTGTTGAGAACATGAAAAATACAGGTACTTCTTTCAAATTTTGTTGTTTCTGTAGAAAAACGTTTCTGAAATTATTGCTGTCACATCAGCACTATCATGAAGCTGGTGCCTTTGCCAAAAGCTGTGCTAGTCTTTGCTGGCACACAGATTAACAAAGTCATCTCTTCCTCCAACCCAAACTCAAAACCAGGACCTTTCTTTGCACGAAGGTTGCCATATACATTTTTGATGTTCTCTGTATATTTTATTTCATTTCTGTGAGTAACTATGGATTGTTCGTTCCTATGCCTACGTAACTTCTGCTTCTGGTTAGTCTATTTCTGACGTTGGAAACCGTACTCTCAGTTATAGAGATTTTATTATGGAAAAAAAATGTATTAAAACAACTTTGTGTTTACTTAACTCCAGACGTAAATAAGAGGAAAGAGAGTTCATATGTGTTTGTCCCAAACATCAGATAAAATTTTAAAAGGGATGGGTTCAGCCCACATGTTGAATCTGGAGTCTTGAGTTTGAATCCTCATCACTCTTAATCGTCCGTTCCTCACCCTGTAAAATGGGGTTAATGGTACACTTTTGTGGGGGTTTTGGGGTGAGAAGAGCTTGATAAATAATATATATAAAATGTCTAACACAGTGCCTGGAACATAGCAGGTACTCTATAAATTACTGTAATACCTATTTGCATAATGAATTGTTTAAAATACCAGGATAATTTTTTAGAAACCAAGCCAGAAAACAACATAGATAATGCAGAAGAACATCCAGCAGCAATGAAATAATCATGCAACTTTTTCGTTTTATTTAAGAAATTTCTATTCTATTTACTGCCATACGAAAATACAGAGAGCTAAACTGTTCAAAACATGCCTACCACCCAGTGTCATGCAGTGTCGTATAAAGAAAGTTTTTAGTGCTACTTCCTTCCTGTTATGAAACATTATCTTGATTAAAACCAACATTTTAGCTATGGTGAGCTCTGGGCTTAAACCTCAAGCTTAAAACTACACTCGAAATTGGTATATGAATGTTTGCCAGTAAATTCATTCAATCGATCACTCATTGTATTACTAGTTAATTAAACAAATATTTATTCATTGCCTACAATAGCAATAATCACTATCGTAAAAATAGCATGGCCTTTGCGCTGAGCTTGGGAATAGGGCTGAAATAACAAATAGATTACAATGTAACTGAAGGGAAGCCACATGAGCAGTCACAATAGCATGGGATATTAAGTAAAATAGTTACAAGCACAGGATACCAGAAGACCATATGGGAGAGACAACCAACTTAGCCTCGCCCTGGGAGTATTAGCAAAGATTTCCTGCAGGAAGTCACCTATAGGATTAATTCTAAAGAATGATTAGGAATTAGGAAAAGAGATTAGAAAGAGATTCAAGAAGATGGAATACTCTGACGGGCTGGAAGGCAAGAGAGGCACAGAACAAAGATCTAGAAGCCATTCAGCAACAGCGAGTGTGAGAGTAAGAAAAAACAGGCTTCATACTGAAAAGGTGAGTAGGGAGAACTCATGAAGTACACAGGATGTCACCGTTAGACATCTGGAATTCGTTCTAAGAGCTATTAAGCTTGGTAGAAATATGGTTAGAATTGTGTTTGACAAATATCACTCCTGTTGATGTGTAAGACCTGGGTCTGGAGAATCAATTTCTAGAGTAGAGAGACCAGTGAAGAAAGTCTCATGTATTTCAAACAAGAACCAAAGTAGAATCGAACTAAAACAGTGGCAACGAGGACAGTGTGAAAATGAAGACTGAGAGATATTAGGAGTCAGCATGAAAAGGACATGGATGTTTGTCGGATGGAGATGGTGAGGAAGGAGGAGTAGCAACAACTTCAAAGTTTCTGTCTTACACAAGTAAGTGGGTCATCTTGCGTAGGGAACACCAGAGAAGGAGCAGGTTTGAACAGAGGACGCGAGTTTAGGTTGAAACCTCCGAATGTTAGGTGCCTATGGGAATTTCAGATAATTTAGTAGACATCTGGATGGTAGCCATTTGGATGGTGGATTTAGACCTATGGAAAAGCTACAGCCTGGAGAGTGGGAGCTCATCAGTGAGAAA